ACCTCGCAAAACCTGCAAAAACTTCAACGAGACCAGGCCAACTTTTCCACAACACCAAAGTGAAAAACTCCAGGCGCAAAGCGACAATCTCCAGGCCCCCAAGTGACAATCTCCAGGCCCCAGAGTGACAATCTCCAGGCCCCAAAGTGACCCAAAGGGCCTTCTGGGTGGCTTCGGTGGGCTTTTGGCCTCTGGGGCCTCGGCAGGGTTTACGGGGGAGGACCTTCTGCAGGCTTTGTGGGGGCCTGCGCTAGGCTCTGGGTCCTTCATTTTAATTACGTCCGGTTAATTTTAAGCTCCGGGCCTTTAAGTTTAGGCTCCGGGTCCTTAATTTTAGATCCGGTCCTTATTTTAAGCTCCGGTGCCTTAATTTTAGCCTGGCCCTTAATTACGGGCCCTTAATTTTAGGCTCCGGGTCCTTGATTTTATGTCTGGCCTTGATTTTAAGCTCCGGGTTCTTAATTTTCGGCTCCGGGTCCTTAATTTTAAGGTTCTTTAAAGGCAGCAAGGAGGAATCCAGGGGTCCCCGCCCATTTGCACCAAGGTTTACCGGTGCCCAGAAATCTGGAAAATTCCTGCTGATTTTGCCTTGTTAAATTCTTTACATAAAATGTGCATTTTAATGAGGGCCAAGTGCCCAAGTCGAGGTCCCCCTCTTTCTTTTCGTGTGGCTCCACTAAACTCTGCCCTGGGGCTCCTCGGTCCAGGGCTCGGAACCGTCCCTGAGCGTAGGATCGAAAAATGGACCCTCGAGTGCTCGTGTGTGCCCAAAGGGGTCGGGGCCACATTCTGCAGCAAAACAGGGCCGTTCTTTATGTGTGCCGCCACTAAACCATCCGGTGTCCATGTGGGCCCAAAGCGGTCAAGGCCACATTCTGCAGCAAAACAGGGCCGTTCTTTTCGTGTGGCTCCACTAAACTCTTCCCTGCCCTCCAAAAATCTGGAAAATCGCTGCTGATTTTGCCTTGTTAAATTCTTTATATAAAATGTGCATTTTAATTAGGGCCAGGTGCCCAAGTCGAGGTCCCCCTCTTTCTTTTCGTGTGGCTCCACTAAACTCTGCCCTGGGGCTCCTCGGTCCAGGGCTCGGAACCGTCCCCGGGTCTTTAATTTAAGGCTCTTTAAAAGCAGCAAGGAGGAATCCAGGGCCGCCCGGCCATTTGCACCAAGGTTTACCGGGGCCCAGAAAGGAGGAATCCAGGGCCGCCCGGCCGGTTTGCACTGAGGTTTAGGGTTATTACTATATAGGCTGACAGTAGCGGCCTATTCACTGGAGCCGCGTGGACCTGAGGTCCAGGACCTACGGCTCGCTTTTCAGCCATCGCCTACGGTCCGGCAGGCGCCTTCCGGTCCGCCTGCTGCGGCCGACCCCATTCGCTGCGGTGGGGGGTCGGCCTTCAGTTTAGGGTTTAGGGTTTAGGGTTTAGGGTTTAGGGTTTAGGGTTTAGGGTTTAGGGTTTAGGGTTTATAGAAATTGTATAGGGTTCAGGTCCCGAGTTTTGACCGAGTTTTGACCGAGTTTTGACAAAGTTTTTACCGAGTTTTGAGCGGGTTTTTGTTTTTGCTTTGTCATTTTGACTTTGGGAAGTGGCTGGGCTGGGCTGGACCGGCTAGGGCTTGGGCATTCGGCTGGCGAAGTGGCTGGGCTGGGCTGGACCAGCTAGGGCTTGGGCATTGTCGGCTGGCTAAGCCCCCGGCTTGAGCTGCGAAGGGGTTGATTGACCGGGCTGGTGGGCTGGGCCCTGGTGCGTAGGGGCTGAGGCGGGTGGGTCTAAAATCTGAAGGCAAGGAGGGTGGCGGGGGTTCAGGTCCCGAGTGGGCTTGGGCATTATTGGCTGGCTGAGCCCTTGATTGACCGGGCTGGGACTGGGGAAGGGGGCTCTGGGCTGGGCTGGGTGCTGCTGTTGCGGGGTTGTGGGCTGCTGGGCTGCTGGGCTGGGCCCTGGTGCGTAGGGGCTGAGACGGTTGGGTCTAAAATCTGAAGGCAAAGAGGGTGGCGGGATTTGGTTCAGCTTGCCTGCGTCATGCGGCTCGCAGGTTACCATGGCGGATTTGCCTACGGGGCTGCATGAACTGAACTGCCCTTGTTTGTTCCTTCGTAAAGTTGTCGGAGAAATGTTGCGACTTTGCATCTACATACATATCATAGAGACTGTGAGAAGTGCAAAGACCATGCAGGGACTTGAGCCAGTGGACACAAATTCTGGCGATCTTCTCCATATCATGGACTCTTCAGCGAGGCGTTTCAGAATCCGAGTCATGCACTGTATTGGTCTTGCGCACTCTGCTTTTCTGCGCCACTTGCCTGTGCTGGTTCCGCAAGTCGAAGCAGTTGTCGTTGGTGAAACATCCGCGCGCGGGGCAGCTGCTGTGTTCCGCGCACCTGGGAACTCGAAGTTTCATATGTGGCGAATGGAATAGGTCGGGTGCTGCTGCAGAGAGTCTTCTAACTCAGCGTGAGAGAGTAGCGCGGGTCGCTCCTGCAGGGAGTCAAGCAGGACGAAATGATTGCTGCTCCAACGCTTCAGCGCTACCCAGTGCCGACCGTTGAGGTTCTGGATGGCTCCGAAGCATTCATCCAAATCCTCTTTGACCAAAGCTCTCTGGTCAGATACTTGCCAGCAGAGACGATTGAACATTTGCATGGATTTGCTCCGCACAGCCATGAAAAGGATCTCGATGGAGTAGTCGCCTCCAGGACTCATGTGGAGGCCCAGATCGTCGCCAAGTTCCCAGTTCTCCTCGAGGAAAGCCGCTGCGGCCTGCTCGAGGTCGATTGCCGTGAAATGACGTGCGCCCAAAGCATTGTTCAATGCATGGATGCCGCACCTGAGCTCCACCTGCTTCTCGAAGTAACACGGGAACTCCTCCAGGTTCTGCCCTTCTAGTTCTTGTTCTGGGCTTCCCTGTCTTGTGGACTTCGCTGCTGGAGTCGATGGCGGTGGCTCATCTGCTTTGCGCTTGTTGCTGCTGTTGCTGCCTGCTGGCGTTGCTTTGGCGTTGGCCAGGACTTTGGGCTGTCTCCCCGCCTCCGTCTTCTTCGGGCTGAGATCACGCACCTCGGACCCCAGATTTGTTGAGGATAATCGCTTTGGCCTCGTCCCCGCCTCCTCCTTCTCCGGGATGAGACTTCACACCTGGGACCCCATGTTGGTTGAGGAGAAGTGCTGCGGTCTCCCCGCCGCCGTCTTCTTCGGGCTGAGATCACGCACCTCGGACCCTTTTTTTGTTGAGGATAAGCGCTCCGGCCTCGTCCCCGCCTTCGCCTTCTTCGGGTTGGGACCCCATATTGGTTGAGGATAAGCCCTCCGGCCTCGTCCCCTCCGCTTTCTTCAGGTTGAGACCACACACCTGGGCCGTTGAGGACAAGCGTGCTGGATCGGTTGAGGATAAGCGTTCCGGCCTCTTCCCCGCCTTCGCCTTCTCCGGATTGGGACCCCGTAGTTCCCGCCTCCACTTTCTTCGGGCTGTGAGATGTCACACTTGGAACCCCATATTGGTTGAGGGTAAGCGCTCCGGCCTCGTCCCCGCCTCCAGTTTCTTCGGGCTGCGAGACGTCACACCTGGAACCCCATATTGGTTGAGGGTAAGCGCTCCGGCCTCGTCCTCGCCTCCAGTTTCTTCGGGCTGCGAGACGTCACATCACACCTGGAACCCCATATTGGTTGAGGGTAACCGCTCTGGCCTCGTCCCCGCCTCTGCTTTCTTCGGGTTGGGACCCCATCTTGGTTGAGGATAAGCGCTCCGGCCTTGTCCCCGCCTTCGCTTTCCCTGAAACCCCATATTGGTTGAGGACAAGCGCTCCGGCCTCGTCCCCGCCTCTGCCGTCTTCTCAGCTTAAAACCATGCACCTGAAACCCCATCTTGGTTGAGGATACGTCCCCGCCTCCGGCCTGAGATCCCAGACTTCGGAAACCCATATTGGTTGAGGATATCTCTGGCCTGATCCCCGCCTCCGTGTTCTTCTCAGGTTGAGACCATGCACCTGAAGCCCCATATTGGTTGAGTATACGTGGGTTGAAGATAAGCGCTCCGGCCTCGTCCCCGCCTCCGTCTTCATCTCGGGTTGAGCCCACGTGCCTGGAACCCCATATTGGTTGAGGATAAACGCCCTGGCCTCGACCCCGCCCCTGCCTTCCTCGGGTTGAGACCATGCTATATCTCCCCGTTGTGTCTACTGAATGCTGAATAACAGCTGCGTCGGATAGGAGTCGCTCGTAGTCATCGGGCATACCCCAAGAGTGCATGCGCGTGATGCAAGTGCTTCCCGTGCACCTTTTGGACTCTCAAGGGAAGAGGTTCTTATCGCCGGACCTGGCGCTCAGACGGCTGCCGTGGCCTCCTGGGCTGTGCTGTGGCAGGGACGTGCCCGCATGTTCTTCTTCGTTGTGCTGGTCCGGCCTGGAAGACATCCTCTTCCCAGAAACAAATGCTGTCCGAAAGATACCACCAGGGTATCCACGCGCCGTGCGGCACCCTTTGCCAAATGTATCCTGGTTGCACGTCAGTGTGCAGGTTCTGTTCTCTCGCTCTTGCTTGCTGGCCTGCCCACCCATTCTTCCTGAGAAGATTTCTTTTCTCTTCGACGGTGGCACAGGCCTAGCGCACCTAGCGTCAACCACCGTCGGCAGATGCTGGCTTGGTGTGCGTTGCTCGGCCCCTGACGCCCAGTTGGCTCTTGATGCTGTCCAACGGGCTCGGAGCTTCGCGCTCCGGTTTCCCGGCTCTGTCACGGCGGCGGGGCCTGCAGCGCCATCGTGTTCAGCAGAGACATCACGAGCGCTTCTTAAGGCCCCGACGGACACAACCCGAGTCGGCGTGCACAGGGAGGGCCTCGATAAAGGTAAACGGCATATCAGGACTCCTCCCTCGTAGAGCGTCCGAGGCTCGGGCACAACATCGCGTTGTGTGTCTCTTCTCCCTCGTATCCGGGGTCGATGCCCAAGTATCGGGCATATTCCTTGCACTCCTGGCGTAAAAACAAAGCCGAGTAAATGAGAAGTAGTTTCCCGCGACACATCCTCAGGTGCGGGCGCAGCACCGCAGTATACCTTCCGATCTCTCGAAACAGATTGTCCCTGTCGCCATAGCTTCTCCGAGGGGGACCGCTGGCTAGGAATTGCTCAATGAACAAGAGCTGCGTTCATAAGCTGCTGGGAGCAGGTACTCCTGCATGCGTCTGGCTGCACTACATGCTCAGTGATGGTCTCTTTCTCTGATATCCTTTTGCAATTGTCCCGCTTGCGAGCGCGGATACTCCATGGCTCGCCTTCGGCGACTCCGTCTCCTTCAGTGTTCGCCTGAATGGGACTCCGTATTGAGGATAAGCCCTCCCGGCCGTGTCCTTGCCTCTGTCTTGTTTAGCTTGAGCTTCCACACCGTCTTCTTCGGCTTGAGCTTCCACACCTCGGAAACCCATATTGGTTGAGGATAAGCCCTCCCGGCCTCGTCCTTGCCTCCGTCTTCTTCCGCTTGAGCTTCCACGCCTCGGAAACCCATATTGGTTGAGGATAAGCCCTCCCGGCCTCGTCCTTGCCCCCGTCTTTTTCCGCTTGAGCTTCCACGCCTCGGAAACCCATATTGGTTGAGGATAAGCCCTCCCGGCCTGGTCCTTGCCCCCGTCTTCTTCGGCTTGAGCGTCCACGCCTCGGAAACCCATATTGGCTGAGGATAAGCCCTCCCGGCCTCCTCCTTGCCTCTGTCTTCCTCCGCTTAAGCGGCCACGCCTCGGAAACCCATATTGGTTGAGGATAAGCCCTCCCGGCCTCCTCCTTGCCTCTGTCTTCTTCCGCTTGAGCGTCCACGCCTCGGAAACCCATATTGGTTGAGGATAAGCCCTCCCGGTCGTGTCCTTGCCTCTGTCTTCCTCCGCTTAAGCGTCCACGCCTCGGAAACCCATATTGGTTGAGGATAAGCCCTCCCGGCCTCCTCCTTGCCTCTGTCTTCTTCCGCTCGAGCGTCCACGCCTCGGAAACCCATATTGGTTGAGGATAAGCCCTCCCGGTCGTGTCCTTGCCTCTGTCTTCTTCTCCGTGCCTCTGTCTTCTTCCGCTTGAGCTTCACGCCTCGGAAACCCATATTGGTTGAGGGTAAGCCCTCCCGGTCTTGTCCTTGCCTCTGTCTTCTTCCGCTTGAGCTTCACGCCTCGGAAACCCATATTGGTTGAGGGTAAGCCCTCCCGGTCTGGTCCTTGCCTCTGTCTTCTTCGGCTTGAGCTTCCACACCTCGGAAACCCATATTGGTTGAGGATACACTCTCCCGGCCTTGTCCTTGCCTCTGTCTTCTTCAGCTTGAGCCTTCATGCCTCGGAAACCCATATTGGTTGAGGATACACTCTCCCGGCCTTGTCGTTGCCCTTCTGCAGCTTGAGGGAAACCCATATTGGTTGGGGATAAACCCTCCCGGCCTTGTTCTTGCCCTTCTTCAGCTTGAGCTTCCACGCCTCGGAAACCCATATTGGTTGAGGATAAGTCCTCCCGGCCTTGTCCTTGCCTCTGTCTTCTTCAGCTTGAGCTTCTACGCCTCGGAAACCCATATTGGTTGAGGAGAAGCTCTCCCGGCCTTGTCCTTGCCTCCGTCTCCTTCAGCTTGAGCTTCCACGCCTCGGAAACCCATATTGGTTGAGGATATTCTTCTTTTCTTCAGCTTGAGCCTTCTACGCCTCGGAAACCCATATTGGTTGAGGATACACTCTCCCGGCCTTGTCGTTGCCCTTCTGCAGCTTGAGGGAAACCCATATTGGTTGGGGATAAACCCTCCCGGCCTTGTTCTTGCCCTTCTTCAGCTTGAGCTTCCACGCCTCGGAAACCCATATTGGTTGAGGATAAGTCCTCCCGGCCTTGTCCTTGCCTCTGTCTTCTTCAGCTTGAGCTTCTACGCCTCGGAAACCCATATTGGTTGAGGAGAAGCTCTCCCGGCCTTGTCCTTGCCTCCGTCTCCTTCAGCTTGAGCTTCCACGCCTCGGAAACCCATATTGGTTGAGGATATTCTTCTTCAGCTTGAGCTTCCACGCCTCGGAAACCCATTGGTTTGAGGATAAGCCCTCCCGGCCTTGCCTCTGTCTTCTTCGACTTGTGAGCTTCCACACCTCGGAAACCCATACTGGTTGAGGATAAACCTCCCGGCCTTGTCGTTGCGCTTCTGCAGCTTGAGACGCCACGTCTTGGAAACCCATATTGGTTGATGATAAACCCTCCCGGCCTTGTCCTTGCCCTTCTTCAGCTTGAGCTTCCACGCCTCGGAAACCCATATTGGTTGAGGATGGCTCACCCCCGGCCTTGTCCCTGCCTCTGTCTTCTTCAGCTTGAACTTCCACACCTCGGAACCCCATATTGGTTGAGGATGAGCCCTCCCGGCCTTGTCCCTGCCCCTGTCTTCTTCAGCTTGAGCTTTCACGCCTCGGAAACCCATACTGGTTGAGGATGAGCCCCCCCCCCGGCCGTGTCCCTACCTGTGTCTTCTTCAGCTTGAACTTCCGCACCTCGGAACCCCATGTTGGTTGAGGATGGGCCCTCCCAGCCTTGTCCTTGCATAGGTACTCCGGCCTCTCCTCGCCTCCGTCCTGTTCGAGTTGAGACCACGCACCTCGGACCCGATATTGGTTGAGGACAAGTGCTCCGGCCTGGTTCCCGCCTCCATCCTCTTCAAGTTGAGACCGCGCACCTGGGACCCCATATTGCTTGAGGATAGGCACTCCGGCCTGGTCTCGGCTTCTGTTCTCTCCAGACCACGAACCTGGGAACCCATGACAGTTGAGGATAGGCGATCCGGCCTTGTCGCCGCCTCCGTCTTCTTCAGGTTGAGACCACGCGCCGAGAACGTATTCTGAGAGTAAGTCCTTCGAGCCTGTTGTCGCCTCCTCTTGAAGCTCGCCTTCTTCTGGCTTCAAGCACCTGGCACTGATGCACGCTGCGGTAGGGCACGCACCTAGGACCCCATATCGGTTGAGGATAAGTGCTCCGCCCTCGTCCCCACCTTCACCTTCTTCGGGCCGAGATCGCGTACCTGGGACTCCACGTTGGTCGAGGATAAGCGCTCCGGCCTCGTCCCCGCCTCCGCTTTCGCACCTGGGACCCCATATTGGTTGAGGATAAGCGCTCCGGCCTCGTCCCTGCCGAGCACGCACCTGGGACCCCAGCTCCGGCCTCGTCCCCGCCTCCGCCTTCTTCGGGCTGAGACCACGCGCCTGGAACCCCATATTGCGCCGGCCTGGTCCGCGAGAGCACGCACCTGGGACCCCATATTGGTTGAGGATAAGCGCTCCCGCCTCCGAGCACGCGCCTGGAACATATTGGTTGAGGATAAGCGCTCCGGCCTCGTCGCCTTCTTCGGGCTGAGACCACGCACCTGGGACCCCATATTGGTTGAGGATAAGTGCTCCGGCCTCGTCCCTGCCTCCGCCTTCTTCGACTGAGACCACGCACCTGGAACCCCACATTGGTTGAGGATAATCAGCGCTCACCTCCTCACTTCGGTCTTCTTGGGGTTGGGACCACGTACCTGGGACACCATGCAGGCGAGCCTGCACGGCTTCGTTCCCGCTCCCGGCCTTTTTCTTCTTGACGCACCTGGCACTCCACGCTGGTTGCGGTTTGGGAGGGGGGTGGGAGGGGCAGAGCGAGGAGGGGAGGGAGGGGGACCCTCCGGAGGGGGCACCGGGTGGGGGGGGGAGGGAGGGGGGAGGGGTGCGGGGGAAGAGTGGGAACCAAGATTGTTTTTTGGTGTCTGCCCACTACCCTCCCGCCCCAGGAGGAGGGGGGAGGGCGCTCAGGGGGAGGGGGGGCGGGGGGAAGACCCCACACCCCATTTTAGTTGAGGATTGTTCTCTCGGCCTTGTCGCTGAGACCACACACCTCGGCAACCACATTGGTTGAGGCTCAAGCTTCCATACCTTGGATTGTCCTTGCCTCTGTCTTCTTCGGCTTGAGCTTCCACACCTCGGAACCCCATACCGGTTGAGGATAAGCCTTCCCGCCTTGTCTCTGCCTCTGTCTTCTTCGGCTGGAGCTTCCATACCCCGGAAACCCACATCGGTTGAGTATAAACCCTCCCGGCCTTATCCTTGCCTCTGTCTTCTTCGACTTGTGAGCTTCCACGCCTCGGAAACCCGTACTAGTTGAGGATAAACCCTCCCGGCCTTGTCGTTGCGCTTCTGCAGCTTGAGACCCCACGTCTTGGAAACCCATATTGGTTGATGATACACCCTCCCGGCCTTGTCCTTGCCCTTCTTCAGCTTGAGCTTCCACGCCTCGGAACCCATACTGGTTGAGGATGAGCCCCCCCCCGGCCTTGTCCCTACCTGTGTCTTCTTCAGCTTGAACTTCCACACCTCGGAACCCCATGTTGGTTGAGGATGGGCCCTCCCGGCCTTGTCCTTGCCTCGGAAACTTATATTGGTTGAGGATAAGCCCTCCCGGCCTCGTTCTTACCTCTGTCTTCTTCAGCTTGAGCTTCCTGGGGCCACGCACTTCGAACCCCGGCCTTGTCCTTGCCTCCGTCGTCTTTTTGCTGGGGTCACGCACCTCGGACCTCATATTGGTTGAGGCCTCGTCCTTTCTCTTTTCTCCAAGATGAAACCATGCACCTGGGACCCTATCTTGGTTGAGGATAGGCACTCCGGCCTCTCCTCGCCTCCGTCCTGTTCGAGTTGAGACCACGCACCTCGGACCCGATATTGGTTGAGGAGAAGTGCTCCGGCCTGGTTCCCGCCTCCATCCTCTTCAAGTTGAGACCGCGCACCTGGGACCCCATATTGCTTGAGGATAGGCACTCCGGCCTGGTCTCGGCTTCTGTTCTCTCCAGACCACGAACCTGGGAACCCATGACAGTGGAGGATAGGCGATCCGGCCTTGTCGCCGCCTCTGTCTTCTTCAGGTTGAGACCACGCGCCGAGAACGTATTCTGAGAGTAAGTCCTTCGAGCTTGTTGTCGCCTCCTCTTGAAGCTCGCCTTCTTCTGGCTTCAAGAACCTGGCACTGATGCACGCTGCGGTAGGGCACGCACCTAGGAGCCCATATCGGTTGAGGATAAGTGCTCCGCCCTCGTCCCCACCTTCACCTTCGTCGGGCCGAGATCGCGTACCTGGGACTCCACGTTGGTCGAGGATAAGCGCTCCGGCCTCGTCCCCGCCTCCGCTTTCGCACCTGGGACCCCTTATTGGTTGAGGATAAGCGCTCCGGCCTCGTCCATGCCGAGCACGCACCTGGGACCCCAGCTCCGGCCTCGTCCCCGCCTCCGCCTTCTTCGGGCTGAGACCACGCGCCTGGAACCCCATATTGCGCCGGCCTGGTCCGCGAGAGCACGCACGGGACCCCATATTGGTTGAGGATAAGCGCTCCCGCCTCCGAGCACGCGCCTGGAACATATTGGTTGAGGATAAGCGCTCCGGCCTCGTCGCCTTCTTCGGGCTGAGACCACGCACCTGGGACCCCATATTGGGTGAGGATAAGTGCTCCGGCCTCGTCCCTGCCTCCGCCTTCTTCGACTGAGACCACGCACCTGGGACCCCACAGTGGTTGAGGATAATCAGCGCTCACCTCCTCACTTCGGTCTTCTTGGGGTTGGGACCACGTACCTGGGACACCATGCAGGCGAGCCTGCACGGCTTCGTTCCCGCTCCCGGCCTTTTTCTTCTTGAGGATACGCACCTGGCACTCCGCGCTAGTTGCGGTCTAAGTGAGCGGGTTTGGGAGGGGGGTGGGAGCAGAGCGAGGGGGAGGGAAGGGAGCGGGGGAGGGAAGGGGGGGAGGGAGGGGGGGGACCCTCCGGAGGGGGCACCGGGTGGGGGGGGAGGGAGGGGGGGGAGGGTGGGGAGGGGTGCGGGGAGCCCCACACCCCATTTTAGTTGAGGATTGTTTTTTGGTGTCTGCCCACTACCCCCTGTGAGACTCGTGCCACCCTCCGGAGGAGGCACCGGGTGGGGAGGGGGAGGGAGGGGGGGAGGGTGGGGAGGGGGGCGGGGAGGGGCGGGAACCAACGCCCCATTTCAGTTGAGGATTGTCTTTTGGTGTCTGCCCACTACCCTCCCGGCCCAGGAGGGGGGGGGGGAGGGCAGGGGAGGGGGGGCGGGGGGGAGACCCCGCACCCCATTGATTTCTGCCACTACCTTCTCTGAGAATTCGTGCCACCCTGCCACCTCTGGAAGGGAGGCCGTCAATAGGGCATGGGAGGGGGAGGGAGGGGGAGGGGGAAGGTCGGCTAGCTCCTGAACTGCATACCTTCAGGTTCCTGTTTTGGTTGAGGAAAAGCTCTCCGGATAAGCCCTCTCAGCCTTGTCGCTGAGACCACACACCTCGGCAACCCACATTGGTTGAGGCTCAAGCTTCCATACCCTGGATTGTCCTTGCCTCTGTCTTCTTCGGCTTGAGCTCCCACACATCGGAACCCCATACCGGTTGAGGATAAGCCTTCCCGCCTTGTCCCTGCCTCTGTCTTCTTCGGCTGGAGCTTCCACACCCCGGAAACCCACATCGGTTGAGGATAAGCTCTCCCGGCCTTGCCGTTGCCTCTGTCTTCTTCGACTTTTGAGCTTCCGCACCTCGGAAACCCACATCGGTTGAGGATAAGCTCTCCCGGCCTTGCCGTTGCCTCTGTCTTCTTCGACTTGTGAGCTTCCGCACCTCGGAAACCCATACTGGTTGAGTATAAACCCTCCCGGCCTTGTCCTTGCCTCTGTCTTCTTCGACTTTTGAGCTTCCACACCTCGGAAACCCATACTAGTTGAGGATAAACCCTCCCGGCCTTGTCATTGCGCTTCTGCAGCTTGAGACCCCACGTCTTGGAAACCCATATTGGTTGATGATAAACCCTCCCGGCCTTGTCCTTGCCCTTCTTCATCTTGAGCTTCCACGCCTCGGAAACTTATATTGGTTGAGGATAAGCCGTCCCGGCCTCGTTCTTGCCTCTGTCTTCTTCAGCTTGAGCTTCCTGGGGCCACGCACTTCGAACCCCGGCCTTGTCCTTGCCTCCGTCGTCTTTTTGCTGGGGTCACGCACCTCGTACCTCATATTGGTTGAGGCCTCGTCCTTTCTCTTTTCTCCAAGATGAAACCATGCACCTGGGACCCTATCTTGGTTGAGGATAGGCACTCCGGCCTCTCCTCGCCTCCGTCCTGTTCGAGTTGAGACCACGCACCTCAGACCCGGTTTTGGTTGAGGAGAAGTGCTCCGGCCTGGTTCCCGCCTCCATCCTCTTCAAGTTGAGACCGCGCACCTGGGACCCCATATTGATTGATGATAGGCACTCCGGCCTGGTCTCGGCTTCTGTTCTCTCCAGACCACGAACCTGGGAACCCATGACAGTTGAGGATAGG